CAATCTATTGCTTGCAAACCCACCAAATTTAATGATTCTGATAATTTGAATATACCCAAAGTATAAGTCTTCTCTTTGTTTGCGATTGTTTCTCTCTGATCTCATAGTAATTTTATTTCCTAAAAACAAAAGTATTACCTTTGCTCGGTAGTCTTCTTTTTACTGATATTCCTGTTCCCTGATTTTCTCCGAGTTTGTTCAAACAGTATGCAAAGTTTTCGCTATTCCCGCCTTTTTCAAGTCTCCTGTTCTATATGTACCTTTCAGTCAGGTTATCAATGGTCCAGCAGCCAATGTTGCCCCAAATAGATGTTTTCCTCCATCCTATTCGTTACTATTTTAAAACAACTATTTACGGAATATTTCGGACCCACTTTCCTAATCGGGCTGCTATAAAGCTTTAAGCTTATGTAGTAGCGTCTATGTGAGAGAGATCTGTCGACCCATTTGAGCATAACCTAGCCTGCAAGGGTTTGCAGGTCAAACGTCAGAACGTGCCGAACACATAGCTCACACAGGAAACTAGATAGACTGGTATAATGCCAAGTGCTTAGTTAGATATGGAGAACATACGAGTAATAGGAAAAGTAAGGAATCGATAAAAAACAATAAGGAAGCCAACACCTTGAATATAAGAAAATAGTTCAAGAAATTAAGTGGAAACTAAATGTGGATGTTGGATAGGATTAGAGAAAGAGAAAGGGAACAAGTAATACTACCGATTAAGGGAGGCTGAATTAACCTCAAAGCTGATTTTCCCTCTTAAACTCCACGCGTCTCACGAGCATAGAATGCACACAATATACGTACAACAGAACAATATCACGTGTCAATATTGTAGGATAAAAAAAATAAGTGCTTTATGGGAGGATGCAGCTATTCACAACTTGGTCAAATTAGCAGGAAGACCTGGAGGAACGCACCTAGTTCACAAGATGCCTCATTAACTTGTCAGAGTTAGACTATATGAAGTAGATAGGATTGCAGCAGGAAACCTTTATTGTCCTTGTGCTTGTTAAATTATCTTAAAGCAAGGTGTCCTGTTCTGACGATGTCCGTCACATGACAGACGAGGGCTGAGCTCATTGAGGTCGCGAGATTGTGAGCCGAGGACTTATTCGCACAAATCAACGGTCGCAGCTCCCAGGCAGCCCCTTTCAGCTTCCGGTGAGACCAACTTCAATTCACCTCTCTTAACGAACTGAAAGTTACTCCAACATCATTCTATTAAAGAATTGTTCGAAAACCAGTTATATATATATATACATATATATTAAATTTTTCATTTTTTATTAGCTTTTCTAAAAGATTTAAATAGTGGTTCAAGTAATTTATTTTTTCAGCATAGAGTAACTAGAACTTGACGAAAAAATATTGAAGTTGAATAGAGCACTCACTCGTAGGCCAGAGGGAAAGTGTATAGCAATATGGAGCACACTGTCCCAAATTATTAATACATCAACCGTGCGGCGCAAATTGGCTTCATGCATTAGAACAAATTAATCATTTATTTCAGTTCAATGGAACCCTACTAGCTCTATCATCAATATGAAAATTCCTAACTCCGCATCCAGCTCGATATTAGAGCATTGTTAGGCAAAAGACAAAAAGGTATTTACATTCAATAGACGAAGCTACTCAGTTCGTTTGTTTCTCGAGACCTTGAATTACGTGAGAACAGTGGCTTCTGACTATCTTCGCGAGCTCTTAGATGGATACGAAGTAATATATGTTCCAATACGCCGGTTCGAATGTCCATAGCTACCATCTCTGTTTTGAGACGCTGCATAGCTTGTTTAATACGCACAACAGAAGAGCCATCAGTCATACTATTACCGCGTTCCTCCATTTCTGACTTGACTCGTTCCAATTCGTCCGTAACCTCAGCAAGTGTTCTACTGCGATCTGTTATGCCTGTGCTCGCCAAAAGGTACTTTTCCTTCAGCTCAGACAGGCTGTCCTGGATTAAAATATAAATTTAGTTTAAATGGAGTAAAATAAATGAAGCTAGGGATACACTTTAAGATACATAAAATTAGTCAAAAATATTATATATGAAGGATCATGTTGATAGCATCAATTTAAACTATGAATTATCACTCTTGTCAAGATACATTTATAGGCTTGTAAAATGAACTAGTAGCACAAATTCTATGAACAAACTTGGGAAATAATGAAAAGCTTCTTTCATTACAATAAATTTGACTGAGCTGAACACTGTGATGATAAATATAAAAAGTTGATAATTTATAAAAGTAAAATATTTATTATAAAATAATAGTAATTATCGCATCTGTTCCTGTTAATTCCACACTAGTTATTCTATGGGCTCTTAAACATATTTTTCGCATGCAGTCATATTATCTACTAGTCTAGTCTAAGGGGGACCAAAGAGGATGATATTTACTGGAATTTCCTATCTTATTTTGGCATACGCTTCGGATTCACACAACAATGTGAATGCGATGAAGTCATCTATACAGTAATGACAATATTTTATAAGTCTATCTCACGCAGAAAAGCCCAGGGCCTTACAGTCATCTTACCTCTACCTTGCCCTTTTAAAAAATAGAGGATTTTGCCCCTCAGTACGTTACATTATTGTTTCCTAATTCTCATTAGTGGATCTATTTGATGCCAATTTACACGAATTGCCGTAAGCCAGCAAATGGGGCCACACTAATTCAATTACTCAGTAAAGAAGGTGTTGAGCAGTTCTTTTACGATACTCATTTAATAATAACAATAAAGTTATACCACCAGCAAACTAAGATAAATTTGGAAAACCTCGAAAATCATTATCTGTCACCGCTATTGAATTTGTGAACCATACACTCTAACATGCGTTCACCTATATATATATATATATATGAAGAAAAACTTGGTTTAGAAGATTTCATTAGTGATTTATTGTGACGTGACTTTTTATTTCAAAGAAAAAGTTCGTGAGAATGAATTTGTTAATTGGTTTCACCGATAAAAGAAGAAATCTCACAGAGATAAAACTTTGGAATTATGCGAATAAGTCAACAGCTTACTATCCTGCGACACCGATAAACCAGTGCTAAACTTTCGTATGTCATGTGATAGATATCTTAAGATTTATAAATCATATTTTGCAATAACGCACCATATACTATAAGCTATGTAACACTGCTTTCATTCATTCATCAGAAACCCAGTTTCTCTTCGTATCTACAACTAGCATAACTAATTCACTTTATTACTCATACAGTCAATGATTCAAATATTTGTCTATTAGCTCACTCAATTAATTCTCCTCATATAATCTATTAAGTATTCAGTCTAATGCCAGATTTACCATTTATATTTTTATCATTTCCGATAAATATTGGTTCAGAATTCATCCTCCGATTTCTCCTAATATAAAAAGGCTTTATTGCTAAAGTAATGCTTATTAAACTCTTAAAAGTACAATAATAAGGCTAGGATTTTGAATAGCATTATCTCAAATAGCAACAGGCATATGAGCAAGGAATGCGATATTTTGCGTACCGAGTGCCTTATGCCTCATTTATTAATAATCTTAAGCCTTAATTAGATTTTAATAAAACTCCCTAGAGCTTTCCAAGATTAACGTATTTGTTTAGAGAATAGGTTGTATTTTCATAAGTTAGTCCGGAGAGACTTACCTGTATGCTAAATTCAAAATTTATGAGTAAGCTCAAATCCCTCAAATCGAATCCTACTCTTGAAAGAACTAAACACCCGAACAACTTGAATCATATAATTTTCTACTTATTCGTCATTTCCAACCTGTATCCTAGTCCTAGGCACCAGTTCACCTGAGCATGATACAACAATAATCATCGTGGCATGACTCTCCATTTCGAAGGAAAAGTTGGTTGGAAGGAAGTCGTGGTGTGGTTTCACCGGAAACCGAAGGAGGATTGTCACGTAAGGAAGACTGTTGAATTGTGCGAAGAAGTCCTTGGCTTACCTCCTGCGACTCAAAAGATACTGTGCTAAGCTTTCGTCTGTATTGTGACAGACATCATCAGAGCAAGATTCCATACTTTACGAAATAGAGCAAAAACCTACTAAATCAAGAGAGGAAGGTGGCCGGCTTCAACCCTAAACGCTTTTTATACACTTAAAATCGTGATCTTAATGAGGCCTCCCCTGATTTTGTTGGTCTCTTCAACCTTACTCTACATCCCTGAAATGAGTGAAGCTAACTTCCCGAACCGGAAGTGCATTCTGTGGCAGTTGTTTGATTACACAAAAAACTAGCATACGATCGTTTAATTTTTAATCATGTTTGAGCTTGTGCTATTGTTTATTGTGTGTATGTAATGCTCATGTCATGGGAAGTGTGATAGTTCTAGCTAGACTCGAGGCTAATCCAGCCTAAGTAATCCAGCTCAATAGCTTTTCCTGCACATTCT